GCAGCTGCATCTGGTAATTACCGGAAGTCCTATCAATTCATCCGAGCCACTGGCAGCAAGAAGTCTAACATCCATCGACGTCTTGGACGATGGGTAAAATTCTTCGAAGGGCAGTTCAACTGGCCTGCTGCTCCGGCAACATCGGTCAGACTGTCCTGCACTCCATGGCTGGTGACGACTGATCCACCAAATGAGGCGGAAGTCCGCAAGGAACTCCAACTCTTGAAACGCCACAAATCGCCGGGCCCAGATGACTTACCTCCGGCTCTTTTTAAAGATGGTGGTGACTTTCTGACTAAGGGACTGACGACGTTGTTTACAAAGGTCTGGGAACTAGAGAGTGTTCCAACATCATGGAACGAGACGATAGTTGTCCCTATCTTTAAAAAGGGTTCACGTCGTTCCTGTAACAACTATCGAGGGATAAGTCTACTTCCGATTGCGTCCAAGCTATTGGTTTCCGTTATACTTCGTAGGTTGTTCAAAACCGGAGAAAGATTGACTCGCGAGGAGCAGGCTGGTTTTCGTTCCGGTCGAGGATGTGTTGATCATATCTTCGCCCTCCGCCAAATGTTAGAACACCACCATACTTAACAAAGGCCAACAATCGTAGTGTTTCTTGACATCAGGGCTGCCTTCGATTCGTTGGACAGAACTGTTCTCTGGGATTGTCTATTGAAGAAGGGTGTGCCTGAGAAGTTTATTAACATCCTAAAAGCCCTATACACAAACACCTCAGGCAGAGTGAGGGCATACAATCACCTTTCTCCATTGTTCCATTCAAGCAGTGGGGTTAGACAGGGTTGCCCAATCTCCTGGCATTGTTGCTCAGTGCTACCAAAAGACTCTGCATTTCATCAGCGTCTTCACCAAACAGGACTATGTCATCTGCGTATTCTAAGTCGATAAGTGGACCTCCTGGTAGGAGACCAGTGCCCGAGAATTCAGTCGATGAGAGCGTTATTTCCATCAGTAGATCTGTGATGAAGTTAAACAAAAATGGAGAATGTAGACAGCCTTGACGGACACCACTTGAGGTTGAAAAATCATTTGACAGTTCGCCATAAGCTCTGACTCGACTAGTTGTGTTCAAGTAAAAAGCCTTCGCAAGGTTTATGTACTTCTGAGGTACGCCTTTCAATGACAGACACTGCCACAGAACCTCTCGGTCTACAGAATCAAATGCTGCTTTTAAGTCAAGGAATACCACCATTGTCGGACGCCGATAAGTATGCCTGTGTTCTAGAACCTGACGAATGGTGAATATGTGGTCTATGCATCCACTACCAGATCTGAAGCCAGCTTGATTTTCTCGTGTTTGCAGTTCACGAGTCTTAGTTAGGCGTCCGATAATTATCGAGGCTAGTATTTTAGTTACTATATTAGTTAAACTAATCCCTCTATGGTTGTCACAGGACGATTTTGACCCATTCTTATATATCGGGATAATAAGCGATTACGTCCAACTCCCAGATTTTAGCTAAAATATTAGTCAATCTAGTCGCTAAAATTGGACCACCATTCTTAATGACTTCTGGAGCCAATCCATCTGGGCCAACTGCTCTTCCTCGTTTCAGATTAGCTATAGCCTTATGAACTTCAGCTAGCGTCGGGGGACCTACTTCAATGTTCCATTCACACTGTCTGGGAATGGTGGGTAGTTGTAGAGTAGCTGAAGGCCATCTGAAATGTTCCGCCCATTGTTTTAAACGTCTAGACTGGAAGCAGATAAGAGCGTCGTCTTTTTCCGAGATAGTCTCACGTATACTTGACTTATTAATTCCAGTTTCTTTCATGAGTCTGAAGAGCTGTCTTGTGCTACCTGCAGCCGCCGCCTTTTCCATCTCTTTTGCTTTCGTTGCCCACCACTGCTCACGGTCTTTCCTTAGACTTTCGCTCAACCGGGATCTGATTTACTTTCGCTCTTCATCTTGTTCAGAGCCTGATGGGATGAGTTTACGAGAATCCATCAGTGCAATAGATCTTGAAGAAATCCATTGGTTCTTTGTAACCCTGTGGTTTAAATCACTAATAGATGTCACTGCTGTTTCCACAGCTGTTTATATATCTTTCCAAGCAACATCTGGGTCAGCCTCGTTTTCGGAACTACCTAAGTGTGACCTCAGTTGTTCCTGGAATCTACTTTTGGTTTTCTCATTACTCAATTCAGTTCTAATGGGTGTTTTTAATGTGGCTTTTTTGCGTCCAGTGAGGCGCAAGAAGATTCGTGCCCGTATTAGGGCATGGTCGGAGTCCAAGCAGGTACTCCAGAATGAGCGACAATCTTCTATCGATCCTCTCCAATGATGACTCATGGCAATATGGTCTATTTGAGTACATCGTTGGTTTGGTGTAGGGGGTCGCCATGTTAGAAGATGTCCCTCCTTATGCTTAAAATTAGTGTTTGCTAAAAATAAACAATTGTCTGAGTACAGTTGCAGAAGACGATCACCATTATTTGTTCGCTGAGCCGGAATACCAAAATCCCCACCTAAATGTCTTTCTGTTTCGTTTAAGCTACCTACATGGGTATTAAAGTCACCTGCTACGAGTACTATGTCTGAGCGTTTAGGTTTCTGAAGAAGTTCAGGGATTTTTCTGTAAAAGTCATCTTTCACTTCATCCGAGCTGCAGTCAGTGAGAGCGTAGGAAGAAACGACGAAAAGGCAACGACCTGTGTAATTATCCTTCCGGGTTCTTACAGTGCCGTTTAGACGAACAGCACATAGACGACTGTTAACGGGGATCCACTCTAATAGTGCTTGTTCCGCCCTCGTACTTAGTGCTATGCCTACGCCTGCCAGTAGACGACATACTTTCAAAAGTTCAATAGATAAATGGTGTATCATTTGGTTTTTATTGTGTGATATCATTCGTTTGCTATTGTGCTTGTGTAACATTATCCGTTGAAATAAAATAGAAAGGCCACAGTAAGTTGACTACCGATCACTTATATATGATTGGACATATATGTGCATTTTGAAAATTTAAGCTCCATGTTTAGATTCCTGTGGAAACGCATCAGAAATTAGTATTTCAAGATCAGCTATCGGATATAACTCAAAATTAGTTAAAATAGTGCAAGTGTACTTATTTTAAGGGATAACTGTTTGAGTCCACTCACGCATGGATTTTATTTGAGCAGCTGTTGATTTATCAATTTCAGTTTTCAACCTTTACTAGTGGTACCGAAAATTCTTGAGGTAGTATGTTAATGGATAACATTTTCCTGCCCTTCCTGGTATGACAATAAATGCCGCTAGATATACTGGTTATTTGTGGGAAATACCTCACTACTGCCATACTCTACGTTATGATGGGTAATGTCCGCAATCTGATATTGGTACACGACGTGCTACACGCTAACTCCCTTTCACCTAACTACTAGAGCGAGAACACAAAAGTGAACGAGAAAGCATATATTGGGCTATTAAATAGAATGTACATACTAGAAAATCAATCCATTTCTTAGAGAATGTTATGCAAATATCCTTAAGGTCACCCCTGATTACCATTTATTGAACTTATTTGGCTACTTCTGCTTGGCTCACCATATCACTCTAATACAGTCAGCAGTACCATTCTGCCCTCGTATCTAACGTTTGCTGTTCTTGGTTTTATTTCCATACAGCTGACCTACCTAGCATAATAGGACTTCAGAAAACAAATTTTTCACCATCTATACCCTGAATGGGTCACCATAATTTAGAAAACATAGTCACCGCGTCAAGTTATTAATTACGGTCTGTAGTCGTTTAAGCACTTTCAACTACTAAGCTGGAAACTCAAATTCCTCTCTACTTAAGTCGGTTCAATCAACTGTTCTAATAATGTAAATCAAGTGTCTGAAATCGCTACACTATATCGGCGCAGTAAGATTAAATTATCTAGACAAGGTTCAGATAAGTAAAAGTACTAACAATAATAACGCTAGTCGAAAAGATATGATACAGAAAATATGAATTAGGAAGAAAGGATGAATTCTTAGAATAAAAAGCATGGTGAAATTTCAAAACTCAAAATCCAAGAAAAGACAAGGAATGAACACGTGTACACCATTTTAACCGATTTCGATCTATATCACTCGATGTCTCCAACTAATAATCATGATTATTGTACAGAATCGAACTAAGTGATTTACACCTACCATTATCACTCAGGCCGATAGTCAATGACTCTATGGACTGATGCCACCATTTGTTTTGGTCACCCCTGTCTGGCTTCCAATCTACACCCACTCTAACAAGCATCGCTGTTAACGGTAGACAGTGGTTAAACATATATGATACATTCCCTAACCAATTCAATTAATGAAAATTTATGCCATCATTTTATTTGGTGTCTTTACCTAGTATTTATTGTCTAGCCTCAGTATTATTCACACTATTATTGCCGTTACAACTAGTGTAGTCACCAAAAACTTGGTGAGGAAAACCGAATTGTTGTTTTATGCAAAATCACACAGTGCCTTTGTAAAATATGAAAATCATACAATAAATACACCATTAGCATATCTTTGATCATTCTTCTTATCCATTTGTTATTCTGATTACTTTTCTGCTAGTAAGCATCCCACTTCCAACTCCTACTACACACTACTTATGTCTGTTCATGTAAGTAATTCACAACACACTAGTATGGTTTTTAAGCATTCTCCATCGAACTCTGTCCTGGGTAATCCTTTCCAGCTGCTATTCATCCTTTTGATGTCTGCTTCCAATTCTCGTTGCAGTGTGTTCTCTGGTCTTCCTCTTTTCCGTTTCCTTTCAGGATTCCAAGTTAGGACTTGCCCCATATTTTGATAATTTCCTCAATGTATGTCCTATCCGATTCCATCCTCTTTTCCTAAATTCCTCTTTAGCTGGATTCCACAAGTTCATTAACTTGAAAATTCCTTTAAAATAGATATATTCCTTATAGAAAGTAATCTATAAATAATCAATTTCCTCATCACTACTTATGCTTTTTTGTTTGTTTTCAAAAAAACATTTTCTCTTTAGGTAACTCACCTAATTCATGTCACGAATATGATACGTTACTTATGCTCCCTTCTTCATCATCGTCTTCTACATCATCAATTGGATACATCAATAATCATTGTAATTCCATGTGTTCAAGTCCTACAGAAATAGATTTCTTTAATTCATCTACTTCTTCATATGCTAATAATTGTAACAACAATAATAATAATAATATTAATAATTGTTATAGTACAATATCTCCTATTGAATGTTCTTCTTCATCGTCGAATAGTTCTTGTTGTTCATTCAAATCACAACAATGCTACAATTGTATGAACTCGATTCAGGTGAAAAATCATTTAAATAATGATAATGTATCATCAAAATCTTCTAATAACTCTACAACTACTGCTATTAGTAGTAGCAATAGTAGGGCTACTACTATCACTAATTCCGTTGATACTATTGCTACAGATAGTACTGTTATCGTTTCTACTTCTAATCCATTTGTGAAACTGTTTACAACTTCAAATAGTTCACTTGTTGATCATCAAACTCAACCACATATTTCATCATTATCAATGAGAACTGGTAAACCTGTATGGCAAATGAAATTCACACGTAAACAGTATGTTTATAATCGTACAATTGTAAATAGTAGTTCTCCCATTGCATCATTAACACGATCTCGTCAATTGCATCACCATCATCATCACAACAACTACTACCATCAACAACAATTACATCATTATTATCATCAATCTAAACGTCGTTTCTCTTCCTTATCAAAGAAATCATTTCCTGTAAATAATAATCATATTGATCAAATCGATAATTCACATCCAATTTCAATGCATTATGATTATTCCCTTAGTAATAGTGATATAGTACAACAATTACCATCTAATCAAACTGTTACGTCATCTCATGGACAAACTGTTCAATATCCTATTCATGATTTATTATCCACTTATACATTTCAGTTATCTCCATCAATTTCAAATAATCAAAGAGAAAAGTTATTCTATAATAATAGTAATATTAATAATAATTCTATCGACAATAATGATCTTGAGGGTACTGTAAATATTCCAGAAAGTGAAGAAAATGGTCTTATATATACACCTGTTCCAATAAGAAAGGAACATAATGAATCATCGTCCACTCGACCGTCATCATCATCATCATTATCTTCATTTTCAATAACACCAACAGTAACTAGCAATAGTACTACTAATTCTGTAACATGTAAAAACCAATCTAAAACTAATTCAATCCATCATTCTATAAATATATCTAATCCTGTTCATAAACGTTTGCATTTGTTACAATTTATTAGTAAACTTTTACAATATTCTTCTGATTTATCAACATCATCTTTAAGGAATTCCACAAATTCATCGTCATTGTCAACATCATCAGCCTCTGCATTCATTTCGTCATTGTTTCCTACAACATCTACAAGTTCATTTTGTTCAATTAATCAACAACCGGATGAATTTATACTACATTTATTCAATCCTAATTCACAATATCTTAATTGTGTTCAATGGATTGATAAACAAGCACGTATTTTCCAAATAAGAAATCCACAAAAGTTATCACAATTATGGGGATATTATCGTAAAAATGTCAATATGACTTTTGAATCGGTTAGTCGTAGTTTAAGGTAAGTTATTATTTAGTTTAGTTCAGGATTAGATTATTCTCAACGTCTGTTGTATTCATCACTTTCGGCGACTTTTCCTCTCATATACTGAGCTGTGCTAGATATTAATGTTTAGTTTTCAATTGATTGATTAGTGACTAGTGATCAATGTTATGTTTGTCTAATCGTTTTGTATTGGTCCAATTCTATTGATTAAGTTGTAATGTAATCAGTAGTCGAAATTACTTCACACCGGGTGTACTATGTTTTGATGTCCGGTGGTAAAGGTAAACAACAGGAAACTCTGGAGTCAAGATGTGTGCCACATGGCACTTGTCAGCAAAATGAGTCTGAAAATCGAAGGAACTGATGCTCTCTGTTGAACTTAAACCTGCGTTACCTAAGTTTATAAACTGATCAATTAAAAAAATCTGACTTCTACAGGTCAGTTGCGGTCCGAATAGCTCAGTTGTAATATCTCGAACGGTTATGCGAGTTAGATTCTATCAGGAACATCAATTCGCTCAAGATGACAGTCACACCTTATTGATAAATTTCAAGTACTACAAAACTCTAGATCCAAGGTTTTCTATTGGCTGCCTTCAAACATTAACTAATATCTCAAAAGAGTGTAATTTTCATTAATGATTCCATTTTATATATACTTCTTTCTGACATATTGGTTCGCGATACAATAACATATTTATAACAGATAACTGCGTATAATTCCAAACGCCTGAAATGAATTAGATCTTTCCTGGAAATTATAATTCACTATTTAGAACACCCCTACCAAATAAATAGAAAAATGAGCAGAACTACTAGATATAACACATGTTAAACATTCAAAACATTTGAGACGATGGAGAAGATTTGTAGCTCAGGTGGGTGATTTTGATGAAGTTTTGTTCTCTGAGTTGGATGACTTGGTCGTGAGGCTTTCGTCGTTATTCTGAATGATATCATCAACACAAATTTCAGGTAGAATTGAAGTGTCCGAATTTCTTCACAAGTTAAAGGTCAACAATAACCAATCAATATCGAGGTCTACAGGACAAGCTATGAGCCGTATGTGGAGAAATCTAAACACTTCAATTCTACCTGACGTTTGTGCTGATGATGTCGTTCAGAATAACAACGAAAGCCTCACGACCAAGTCATCCAACTCAGAGAACAAAACTCCATCAAAATTCAAAGCATTGTGGATAACTCTTGTCATTTTCTTTTTTTAAGTAACTTCTAGTTATCGTCAACCATTATTTCTATTCAGTTTCACAACTGTCTCCCTCTGTTTTTGTGTCTGTTTATTTCACATCATATAGATTGTATTATGTCTCTGGGAAATTAGAACGTATTCGTGGTCAACGTAATCAATATCGTTTTTTAGATGTAAATACTTAAATTACACAATTACATAATATTTATTTATGATTCTTTTCCTCGCTAGTTTATAACATCCCGTCTTCTGCACTATAATTTTTTTATTTACCCCTCTCTACTTTTTACTTTTCTCTCGTGTTTTTGCTAAAAAAAATTTTTAGAACTATTTTTTGTGAGAAAAAGATTAGCATATAGAATTTTAAAAAGCAACCTTCTCTGTATATTTTCATTTATGATCTGTGTTACAATGCTTTGTCTATTGGATTATTACTATTATGGTAACTATTCCTGGTGGGGTGGCCCATAGCTCTTCCACTAGGAGTAACAGGCTTAAATAAGTATTTTAACTATAATTATCATGCAATTCTTGTATATATATATATATATATATATATATATATATATATATATATATATATATATATATATATACACGCACATATTCTGTCGGTACATGTAAACATACACATTAAAATTCTTCTTTACACTTAATTATATACTTTATTATATGAAATTGTTTTATTGATTTCACTGAGATAAGATGTAATAAGTATTGAACATTGTTTTCTATTATTTCCGCTGTTACCATCATTCTTTCTTATGATTATTTTCTTTGTTTTTCTTTTATCAAATATTATGAACATCCATAGTGATGATATTAGTTGTTGAGTTGTTTTGTTTATTATTATTTCAAAGTACACAATAATTTCCACTTTTAAATCTCCTTTCTTTGTCTTTCCATCAAATCTATTTACTATATTCAAACAAAGATAGACCTCTCTACCTTAGTAACAAGAATTAATCACAAGAGAAAAACAATTTTTTTTAAAAAAACATATTACACTCTATTTTCATTTTGATTCATATGTATTATCTTTTTTTTTCAAATTCAAAAGTGAAAGTGAGTCAAACAAGTCAATATTCAAGAATTTAGTCAATAAATAACATTAATGATAATTTAAAAAGTAATAGTCAATTTTATTTTTCTTGCCAAATATATAAATACACATATTTAAATCTAAATGATTTGTTAAAAGAAAAAAAATAGACAAAAATTAATATGCAGATTATTTTATTTATTTATTTATTTATTTGCTTATCTGTATATTTATGATCAATGTGATATTTCCCTGTTAATTGATTAATTAATTGATTTGTTTATTTGTTTTTTTTTCATTCTAATTGATTCATTCAATATTGAAGTGTTTTACTTATTTGCTTCGTTTTCTCTTTTTTCTCTTCAGAGAAACTAGGCGGAAGGAACAAAAAAATGAAGCAATTATTATTATTCTTTTCTTTCTTTTTATTAGTTGTATCTTTCAGTAGATAGACATCCTCAGTCAGAGCAGCATTTGTCCCCTCCCCCTGGCTCCACGTATAAAAAAAAATTATGTCTATTAATAATAATAATGATATTGTTACGGTTATCGATCTTGTTTCTTTTTCTTTTTGTGGTTGAAATATTGTTTGGCTTATATATTTACAGAAATAAAGTATTAAATTACCCTCTTCAGAAATAAGTATTTCATTTAATCAGTTTGACAATGATGATGATGATGATGAGTTTGTAAAGCAAGTGCATATATTGAACGATGATTTGCCATCCATTCCCATCCTAGTCGCTTAAGGTCCTCTTAACTTCTCCTTTTTTTGTCGTTGGTGATGGTAGTTATTTTTATTGTAATAAATTCATCTTCAAATATTTTATTTTTTACTGAATACAACTTTGTTATTCTTCTCATCCTTATTTATTTGTCTTTTTTTTTTAATAATTTTTATTCAGGAAAAATCTAGAATTTCCATGACTATCTACTTACATACCTTTAATATCTGCTATAAAATTATTTGCTTTTTTTTCTTAGTCATATATTTAATTCTATTCATCATTGTTCGATAATAGTTTTACTTTTACTTTTCTTTTTTCTTCGTTAAATGTCTTTGATTTGAATGTATCTTATCATGGGTGGGTTGTGTTATTTTTTTGTATGGAAATAATACTAATACTACTGTTACTATTGTTAATAGTAATAATATTAGTAATTATTATCTTTTAATTATGACCAATGCCTTCCTCCGACCTTATTGTGCTTTCAGTCTTTTTTTTTGTTTTGTTTCTTTATGTTTTTTTTGGTTGATCTTTTTTATCGCCTCCTTTTTTGTCGATAACGTATTATTATTATTATTATTACTGTAATTCAGAATGATTAGTGTTTATTTATCTATTTTTAGTGAAATTTATTTTTTTATGAAGGAGAAGATAAAATACAAAAAAAGAAGTCAGATAGAAAAATTTTTTTTTTAATTATAATTTTTTGTGTTTTTATTTGTTCCTTTGAAAGTGAGATAATCAAGTATCATTGTACAATGAATAAAATTGTTTATTGTGATAAAAGTGAATCAAAAATTCAATGTAAGTCAACTAGTTTTAATCAAGCGTCAATCGATATTTATAGTCAGACAAAAATAAGTTACAGACATTTGATGAGTGAAATAATAAATGCACACACATACGCTTACATGAAGGCAGTTAAGTTTGATGAGTGAATAATTGACAAGGTCGAAGTGTGACTCAAGAAGAATGAATAAATTTACTTGTTCTGAAGCCAGAATAAGCTACATGAGCTTAACATAGCAACCGACACTACATCATCATTAAGATAGCCTTTAGAGAAATTGTGGTTTATTAGTTAAAGCACCTTCAGTAAAGTATGCTTTATTGATGAATCAGTCAAATGTGAGAGAGCAACTATTTAATTTTCGAGGATGCTTTGAAACTTGATAACAGTTGGCTTGTAATTCATTAAAAGCTGAGAGAAAATTGCCTTTATTTAGTTCTTACCATGTTTACAATTGATAAACATATCTATTATGCAACTACACAGTGGATGTGACGTAAAGCCTAGATTACAAAAAAACATCACCTGAGGTCGATTGTGTTTACTCATTTGACGTATTTGGTTTGATTCAGAGCAAGGTCAAGAGTGTTAGGGAACTATATTCGGCTTCATAAAGGTTTTTAAGTTAAAATGGCCTGGAATCATTTGGACGATGCTTTGTGTCAGACCTACTTTGATTTTGATACTTATGAGCTCACTGGGAACTTTATTAATCATATAGAAATTATTCACTTACATCGCATGCATTCCGACGGTAAATAACGTGGCAAAATTTTCCAGTGTCATGATTAAAATCGTTCAAGGTCATTGGTATAGTATACAATAATCCCACTGTATTTGGTTTTCAACGATTATATCAGAGGCTCCAACTTCACAATATCTATTTAAGTTTGAGTAGCTGTGTATTACCACTTGATCCACACAAGATGTCCCAAAGCTGTAGTTGGTATTAGTAATTTACGTCATCATGTTCGTAGTAAGCTAAATACTGATTTCTTTGTCGCTATGGATTTGTTTATTTTACTCAGATAAAGAATGTACAATTTTTCTGGTCAAATTTTCAATGGTATTTCTATTTTAATTGGTTATTATTTCTTAGCTTGTAGGGTTCCTGAACTGAGTCTTTTCCGTAAAATCTTCAGTGTGATAACATATATATATGGATAACCATTTTCAGTTTAACAAATTATTAATAATATCAGTGAACAAGCAATCATGTGTAATATTCCAATTTCAAGTGTATCCTAATCACTTCACTTATAGGAATAATTATACCAAATGAATTGATTTTCAGCATTTCCACTAATTTTGATCTGTCATTTAAGGTACTTAACAGCAAATCAGTTGTTATTTCATAGATTCCAATTAGAAATTCCATTTATCCAGAGAATACTTAGACTGATAGTCAGCGATTTCATAGACTGGTCTTAGTTCGGTCACCTCTAATTGTCTTTTGATTTTTATACTGACCAGAATTGTACATCGGCGTAGGTGGCAGCTAGTTATGTGAAGCAAAAATCCTGAGTTAATCGATGACGGTTTCGAATCTAACTAATCGATTCGCTATTTCTATTCCATACTCTACGCCTAGACTCACTATTTTTTCTAGGCGTCATCAAGGATATATGTAACTGAATATGAGGAACCCGCTCACTTTTTCAACCTTTATGGGCTGTTTCACAATAATTTAATGAAAATCGAAGTTCTTAACAGCTTACTCACCCCTTTGTACATACATGCATTTCTCATCTGTACGCCACAGATAAATCATAATTGTTGGAACTTCCAATGGCAAGTTACCAATACACTCGACAGCTTTGGACTCTGATTAAACTAGGGCGACACGGACGAGTCATTTTCGCATGTGGAGGAGAAGGGATGTGTCTGGACGCTTTCATATTCTTTGAAATTTATTTCATGAGACTTTTTGATGGACTATTGTTATGGTTCAGTAATAATGTAATGATCAAGCCTTCTGCTATTGTATAAAAGAGAATTGATATTTCTACATGTATATTTTTACTCTGACATTAATTAATAGGACAAAATGCTATGATTAGTTATGTGTCGTAATCAATGACACATGGTTTGTCTTTGTGTTGAATGTAAGAACTTCTCCGCTTGTTCAAGTTTGTTCACTTCTATTAGGTAATTAATCAATTCAGATCCCTAACAAACGCAAATGATAACATAGATAATTCTAGTATTAACTAATATACTAAGATGCACATACAATAAGGTCAGCAAAATAATGCAAATTTTATAATAAATTATGTAGTTAATAAGAATAAGAATTTACATGTAAATGAGCTTATCATATTTATCGGATTTCCAATAATGCAGAATTTGAAGTGTGGAGTAAATCGCATGAGCATAATTCTTATGAATGCGATTCTTTGTTTGCCTACTCAATTAGACCGTTAGATTACAGAGTACACTAATGACGACTTCACTTTAGGCTAATCCGACCAACGACCTTCACTCAATAACTTAAATGATTGGCAATAGTGGCCGGATTTCCTGATGTTTGTTAGTCCACTCATCTCTTTATCTTTATTGGCCAATCAGAACACGAAGATACCGGTGTGATGTGTGTTCCAGCCAGATTTGTTGGTAAAGCCTTTTCTGGTGATGCCTCAGCTGGCCCTTCTGGAATATATTCCGTGTTTCACGACTCACAAAACCACCGCGTGGATGTGATCTAATGGGAAACCGCGACCCCGCAGGTCTTTACGTGTATCTCGGCATCATAATAAGAGCGAGTAAAACATTTTTTTGGTTATTACTTACCCTGGATAGGTATAGTCTACGTACATACTAGGTAACACACAGACGTTCATCCGAGTACTCCATGACATACATTCAGATATAAATATCCTGTGAGTAAATAGTTCAATACTAGGAAGAATCAGGCCACTATTACTCTCTATTTTCTCACATGATATAAATCTAAAATGAAAAGTACC